TCTGAGGTCAACTGTGGCCATCGAAGTGAGGGAGGGAGAGGAATAGTTGAGAGAGAGACAGAGAGATAGAGCTGGAGAGAGAGATGGACGGATTGAGGTTGTGGTTTCTATGTTGCAGATAGAATTATGGAATAGTAAAAGTTATAAAGACAAGAGAGAAAGAGAGAGTCATTAGACTTCTTTTACCTTAGTCTTTAATCCTTTTACGGATACAAGAGCTGAGCTTTGCCTAAGGAATTGCATGGGTTTATATACTAATAGTACGTATGGAAACCGAGTAGCCCAATCTTAGTGTAGTGGTTCTTTTCTTTCTAATGTTAGAAAATGCCCCAAATTTGGATACCCTTTCCTAAGAAAAATATAAGTACAGAAAAAAAGCTAATTATTAATTTGAAGTTTACAATTTGTAGAAGAAATTCCTTGCTTTTTTTTTGGGGTCAATTTCTTTTCAAATAAAGTGAAAAGGATTACAAAAGGTGGAGAACCACAGGCTAAAGAAATGTCTTGCTAAAGAAAAGAAAGAAAAGAAAAATATGGATGGACATTGACTGTTGCTCAAATTTTATTTTTCATAAACCTCGAATATTATCACATTGAGGAAATCACTTTGCCTCTAAAAATTGGCGAAATTGAAACAATTTGGTGCGTATATGATTTGTGAAAGTAATTTGTAAATCGTGACGGAGTTAGAATTTCTCTTTTTATAACATGGTTTTCAAAAAATTTAAACAAATGTTTTCGTAATCAAAATATAAGGAGGGCATGACCACTTCAACCCTGTCCTTGTCCTTGTTTGTACACAAGCCATTTTTGTTTTTGGCCAAATACTACAACGTTTGCCAAGTTTAGTTTCCACCTAACTATGCTTTTCCTAATGAAAAAGAAAATATCTTTCTATTTTTGGCTGCAGAAAACAGGTATTAATTTTTTGTAGGGTAATGCCAATTTAGTCAGTTGCGTGGCAATATATTCCACTGATGGTACGTGCATTGTCGGAAACTTATGCCACTACATTTTGACATCCGTTTTCAATCAATAGCTGCGTCATAGGAAAAAAGCTGAACGAAACTTGACTAATTCGTAACTTGAATTTTCATTGTGGGAAACTTTGTTGTGTAGATACAGCTGCACCAAAATGGATTCAGTTGCATCCTCAACTTGTGATACTCGCAAGTGCACGAGCCGTTTGGTAGTATAGCGTATGTAAGTGCGAGGTCGATCCCACGAGGATTGGTGATTGAATGATCCAATTTAGTTTCCCTACACAAAATAGAAACAAAAACAAAGAACATAAAACAAGGAAGAAAGAAATAAGTAACTCAAGCAATTAAGTTCCCAAGTTCAATTTAGATTAATGGATTGATTCTAGCTAAAGTATGATTAAGCCATGGTGTGTGGTCATAACCTTGTGTTCCTAATTCCCTAATTTGATCATTTGTTGTCTAACCTAAAATTAAGCATTAGGAACCCATTAAGCATAGAAGAACAATTTAAACAACCAAGCATGTATCTAATCCCTGTTGTCGAATGTCCATACATACTCTTCCTATTCATAGTTCAATTCGAATTAAAGCATGGTGTATACTCTTAATTCAAACCAAGATAGCTAACATGCAAGCCTAAATGGTGATCAATCATTCAAACTAGCATATTAACTTATAAGCATAATGAATAACAACAAAAACCATAATTGAAACTTGGAAACTAATCAAACTTGAAAAACTAAAGAAAAGAATTTACATAA